GGAGGAAGATGGGACATAGCAGAGGGGGGGGGATGGGGAATCAGGGATGGCAAGACAAAGGGCAAGGTATGCAGGACGTAAGAACTGGAAAATTATTTGCTGAGAACATGTATGTGGATGTGCTTGATTGAACCAATGCACAGTGTATTTTGGATGGAAAATTCATTTGTGTGTTGTGATGGTGTAAAGTGAATTAATAAAATTAAAAAAAAATGTGGTGGCTAGTGGGACCAGCAGTTAGCATAATGGCTATGTCGCTGGACTCCCATGTAGTCGACTGCAGTTCGAGTCCTGGACCTGGTGGCTTATACTCATGCCGGGCACGTGTGCGTGTGTGCCCAAGATCCCGAGAGGAGAATGGAGGAGAAGGGACTGCGGCATGGCCATCCCCCCTGGGGGGAGATTTCTCGCTTTCTGTCTCTCTGTCTCTGTCTCTCTGGTGAGTGCACATGCCCTATAGCAAAAACCTCTCTAAAAAAAAAATGTGATGGCTAGTACCTCAAATATATAATATTGAGGAATGGTTATATAACTTACAACATATCCATAAACATAATTATGATTATATTCTATTTCTAAAATATTTAAAGACACAGTATAATATTTTAAAAAGCACATGGAAAAATTGTATTAACAATATCCAATTTTATTTTTTAAGAAGGATCCACATTAGGGAAGGAAAAAATAAACTGGAAAGAAATAAGCTCAACTATGAAAAGAGGTCGTCTCTATGTAGCTAGAATATTGGTGACTGTATTAGATCATCATTTTTATTTTTATTCGAATCAATAGATGTGATTTAGCTATTCAGCTCTGAACCAAAGGATGAATTTTTGGGTTCAGTGAATGAGTTACTACAACAAATCTGGCAGGAGGGACAAGAAAGAGGAGAAAAAGAGAAAAATACACTGCTTTGTCTTGCCGCAGTGTGGTAATTATGATGAACTGATACTGCTGAAATACATCTCCAGAGGATTTGAATATCTCCTTACATCAAGTTCTATGAAGAAATCAATATCCTCAAAAATGAAGTGCTACTAATCGTATGATCAGAGAAAGAAGCAAGAAAGTTATTTAAATATCATTTTGCTTAGCCCTCTGGTTGTAGAGATGAGACGACTAAGCAGGGTTAAGTGGTTACTTAGCTGTGTTGATTAGCACTGATGTGTTTCCTACGTCATCGCGGGTGCCTTTAGCTATATGTAAGCCACACATATCCTCACTGGAGGTCATTTCCATATCCCTATAGAACACTGTATTTCAAAATAAAACAAGACATTTACGTTCCCCTTTTGTATGATAAACCCCTAAGACATGAATGTTTACAAATTGAGCAATATGGTTAATTATCAAAATAAATCAACATCGTGCTTATTTTGTATCTGGTGAAACAATGAAATCAGTAGTTCTCAACCTTGACTGTGAACTTGAATTTCTTTTTTTTTTTTTGGAGATTTTTTTTTTTTTTTTTTTTTTTTTTAGGGGGGGGTTGTCTCCC